CTAAAGCCTGTGGTCTCTAGAGCTGAAGACTCGTAGGTGAAAAAGGCTGGAAGGACAAATAGGGCATTTGTCCAAAAAAAACAATCCTTTTTTTTTCCCTTAAGAAAACTTGAGGCCACAAAATGGTCAAACTTTGGGAAAGTAAGGTTGGATGTATTTTACCAAAGTGTATCAGAATACAGATGCGAATTCCCAAAACTCTTAAGAAATCGTGTCTCACGTAGCATATGCTCTGAGTGCGAGGGCCCGTTAACTCCTGCAGCTCTGCAAAACTGAGGAGGAGGGCTGAGGTCGGCTGGTGGCGAGCACGGGGGACTTCTGCTTGCCAAGAGACGGGTTAGGTTTAAATCCCCAAGTCAAACTTCCCACCCTTGGATCCCAGCATTATTCCTGTTAAGTAGGCAGTCGAAACAGCGTGCTTGCCTCAGCGTATTTTAAAAATCTGAAGAAATTATGCTTTTTGTTGACTCTGCGAAAGTTTGATTAGTTTGGTAGAAGTATTTAGTTTTTGACTCTTCTGTCCTGTGACAGGTTTGACTAAGAACCCAAAGGGACGAAAGCGTCTCAGTTCAGCGACCCCGGCGGCGTCGGGAGCACCGCTGGAACGAGCAGGCAGAGCCTGGCTTCTCACCCGTTACCTCGGGCACGCGGTAGCTCTGCGTGGTGAGGCCACCGAGTATTTTTGTATTTCTGTTGAAATCTTCAACTTGCTTCTTTTAATGCTCCCTTCTGTGTTTCCTGAAATTGGAAACGATATGTCCTGTGAAAAGCATCTGAGCTTTGTTACTTTGCTGATGGTGCAGATTGCTGCGCTGGCTGTGTCCAGGCATGATGCTGTGGCTCAATGAAATACCTTCGGCTGCTATGGGGGAAAAGAGATTTGCTAATAAGCAGGCATGGAACAGAGGGACTTGCTAGAGATTGAATAAGTGCTTGTAGAAGAAGGAAGGAAGGAAAAAAGCTCTCCCTGTTTCTGGCTTTTTGAGGAATTCCTAGGATTAAATCCAAGCAACCTGTCATTCAGCATCTTCCCCTTAAATATAAAAGGAAAACCATTCCTTTCGTGCTCTAGATGCTGCATTGTGGTGGGGACAAGAGCCAGGCATCTGAAAACCAGTTAAATTTCTCTTTTTCTCCTGTCTTTATAAATGGTGGCACCCAAGAACCTGACTGAGCCTCTGTACAGGAGCTACAGCTCAGCGCAAGTAAAGTTGACGGCATCTGGCTGTTGGTGTCCGAGGGCCGGTGGAAAGAGATGCAGTAGCTGAGGCCCAACAGCTCGTCGGTGCTTACGGCCCCGCGGCAGCTCCGGGCAAGGTGCTGCTTGGTGCCAGCGCTGCTCCTGCCGCAGCTGGGGATGTTGGACCCAGCTCCCTGCGCCTCCGGCCAAGGGAAACACTCCCGTACGCCGTGTCGTGTTTTCCTTCTGCTGGAAAAGTAGTTCCTCACGGTATAAATACCGTATCGGTAACGGCAGCCCTTACCTGTGCTTGGTAAGGCATGGGCTGCCTTCATGCAACGCTGATGAACACGTCTCGAGGAGGAGCAGGTGTTCGGACGCGGCCGCGCACGGGATGGCCAAGGCAGGTGCTTGCTGCAGGTCATCTTTTTTGTTTGCTGTGGCTCATTCTCCTCCAAATAATCCCTTTTCCTCTGCTCGTTCCTTCCTCTGTCCCCTGCCTGAAGGGACAGGCTGGGGGTCTCGCGCGAGGTGGTGACCGGGGGGGTCGGTCTGGCCGAGGGCGCTCCCTGCGCATTGTTCTGCAGCCGCACACAAAACCACCCAAAACCCACCTGCACCCTGGGACTGGGACTTCAGCAGCTCCTTTCTAGCTCTGCCTGGCATTCATCTGGTGAGGGACAGCTGGGTGAATCGTGTTTGCCGGGAGCGGGGAGGCCCGGGCTTGAGGACCTCCAAATGCTGCGTGCCGGGAGGTTGGTTACGCTTCATCATTGATGGTCCTAGAGGGCAAGCATGAGAAAACGGATTGCGAGTTTCTGTTTCGGAGGCTGAAAGAGTTCTCCTCGGTGAAACTTCGCAGGCCAGCTCTTAGGAAGGGTTTGCAAACCCTCTTAATTTAAGAGAGGCCGTAAAAAGCCGGAAGAAAAGCCAACAGAGAAAAACAAATTGGGTCCCAAAGGGGGGGGAATTTTAACTGATCGTGAATTTGAGAACTAGAAAGAAATCCGTCTGGTTCTAGGTTTCCGAGAACGACCACATGAGTGTTTTGCAAGATTGCAAAGCCTTGCAGAGGTCTCGCAGCCTTTGAGAAGAGAAAAAGGAGGCTGGGCTCTGTCCTGGGAACAGCTTTTTGTGCAACAGTAGAGTTGCACAAAAAAACCAAGTGCCACAAGGAAGGCAAAGACCTGTGCGCTCTCAGGGGGGTAACTGCTTTCTGTGGGCTCCCCACAAAGCCATTAGCTGCCCCCGACACGAAGCACAGCTCTCCAAAGCCTGCAGAGAACTTGGTGGGAAAGGCTGAGGGACATCCACTGCTTCATTCCCATGGTCTTGGTCTGGTAGGTGTTAGGTTAACGGGAGGGCTCCACTGTCCGTCGGGAGGAGCCCGTTGGTCCCTATGGATGCTGCTGGGTCACCTGTGGCTTTATAACACGGCGGAGCAGAGCCAAGGGTGAGCTGCCACCACCACGAGCATCCTCATCCCAGGGGACAGGGAGCGGGTGGCAGCTGGGCATGTTGAGCAGCTCGGCAGTGCAGGGAGGGCTCTGAAATGCCCCGTTTCCATCGCTGGGCTTTCATGCCTTTTGGAGAGTGCCCAAGCAGTAAGTTTTACCTTTATAGCAACATTCACTCTGGATGTACAAATTGCTGAGCTTAACGGGGATGAACGGACAACGCTTTATGAGCTACCTTGGATTAAAGCAAGTCCATGGAGATGATGGTCTCTAGGCCCTTTGATGGAGGAGATTTTCATTCCAGAATTCACCGCCGGCCCCGTGCTCCCCGGCAAAGGGTCTGGATGTCCCCGGTGCGGAGGACCCCACGGGGTCGGAGGAGGGGAGAGGACCCTGCCCTGTCCTCCGCAGGCAGAGGCTCCAGCCGCGGCTGCCCTCGGACCCAGCGCGTGTCTGGGCCCCGATGCACAGATAATTAACGATAATGGCTTTCTAAAAGCAGAACTCTGTAGCTCGCAACAGCCTGCCAGCCAGCACGGACTGTTGCTTTTTTCCCTGAAATGTTTATGATCCTTCTTTTCCTCTCTGTGTCACCGTTGGAAGTGTTTTCTTTATTTCCCTTGAAATAGTAATCTAAATCTGGGAATTGGAAACCCATTGCCTGGCTGTGTATATACATTTTTATTTTTTTTTAAATAATATGAATTGGGGAACAGTTAAAATTATATTATTCCTGGCAGCGAAATTCCTTTTTTAATAGATAATTTGAAGTTATGATGTTGGAAGCAGTTTCCCCCTCGTGTGTGTGCATGCACGGTGTGGAAGGAGCAGTGCCGAGAGGGCTCGGGG